ATTAATGTAATTCTAACAAATTTAAATACAGATTCATGAGTTGGAACATTTGATGAGTTTAAGACCAATTATCCCTCAGGAAATTTTAACTTCAGTTCTGTATTCAAAACATTTCACCAAGACATCAGAGTAAGGTATTGGTAAATAGGCTCCGAAAAATGGAGTTATAAATATGAACAGGCCTCAATGGTTACTCAAACACATTGTGTTGCAAAGTTGCGCAAAGCAAATTTGCTCATTTACCTTTATAAGTTGGGGAGAAATTTTACAAGAATATTTACCACACTTTAGGAAGGATGTCAAGGCATTGGAGAGGGCGCAAAGGAGATTTACCAGGATGGTACCAGGAATGAGGGACTTCAGTTATCAGGAGAGACTAGAGAAGCTGGGATTATTCTCCTTGGAGCAGAGAAGGTTAAGAGGAGACTTAATAGAATTTTTCAAAATGATGAGGGGATTCGATAGGTTGAACAAGGAGAAACTATTTCCACTGGTGGGTGGGTCAGTAACCCACGGACATCGATTTAAAATAGTTGCTAAGAGAAACAGAGGTGAGGTGAGGAGAATTTTTTTCACACAGCGAGTTGTTCGGATCTGGAATGCATTGCCTGAAAGGGTGGCGGAAGCTGATTCGATAACAACTTTTAAGAGAGAAGTAGATAATTATTTGTGGAGGACAAGTTTGTAGAGCTCTGGGGAGAGCGCTGGGGAATGGGATTGATTTGGATAGCTTCAAAGAGCCTGCACAGATATGATGGGTCAAATTGCTTCATTCTGTGCTGTATAATTCCATAATTCTCTGATCCTCAACGGGACTGAAAGGGCAGCATTGCGAAAGAAATGTGGGTGGTAGAAGGAATGGGCATAGTTCTGGGAGGAGACTTGGTTGATCTTTTCCTGCTCCTTCCTTTTTTATTCTTCATGTTTATATATACGTTTCCTTTGTGCAAAGGAACTGCATTTTATTTGCTCAGAGGAAAATCATCCCCAACTATCGTGCATCTGGCTATGGTATATCTGATGTAAATGATGCGAAGAATAATGATCTGCGACATTTCATTGTGGAGTTGTCAGACCATCAATTACAACATTTGATTCAGATTTTCTTATCCTGCATGTGAGAAGTCAAACCTTTGAGTATTCTGATGGGTCACAGATACAGAATTCTATATGACGGTAGAACAGAAATGTTTGTTGTTGTATTGCAGCATCCTCCAGTGGCCGATTTACAGTACTGTTAGAACTATCTAATACAACTTTTATCTTGCCATTCTTGGGGGCTGATGGGGGAGAGGGGAATCACAAAATGCTTTTATATGGTCTCCAGGACAACCACAGCAAATGTCACTTCAAAAGTGCCAGATGTTTTGACTTGTTTCTATGTTTTGGAGCGCCTAAGAATTGCAATGATAATAATATAAGAATTATTGCATTTAATATTGCACCTTATTGTTGTCGAGATGTCTCAAAGCTTTTCGCAGTATATAGTATAAAGTGATGTAGCTGTGTGTATTTTATGGGTGAACAGGGTAGCCACCTTGTGTACGGCAATGTCCCACAAACTGCCATGAAGGAAGTGATCAATTTTATTTGGGGGATTGTTGGTCAGGACACCAGGAGAAACTCCCTTCTCTTTTTCAGTAGTGTGGGATACTTAACATCCACCTGAACAGACAGACCATATTTTGGTTTAACGCCTCATCCAAAGGACACCACTTCTGTCAATGCAGCACACACAATTATAAACATTGATCAGAGTGTCAGCATGGACTCTGGGTGTTCCAAAACCCAATGTTCTGACTCAGTGGCGAGAGTGCTACCAACTGAGCCAGGCTATCAAAAGATGTCAATATTTCACAAACAGAGTGGGACCACCACAGAGCGTTGACTCAATTCCGATATTCCATTTCCAAGCACGTAACCTTGGAACCAGTTCAGCACCAAATAGGGAAGCGAGTAGTGGAACCTAGTAACTTAGTGGTGAAAACAAACAAATATATCCAAGTATTTTTTTGCAAACTGATGGGGACAAACAGCAATTACTCTATTTTTATCTTTTTCTACAGTTAGATTCTATCATGCCATTGTATTTTTACTTCTCACTCCATCTCTTTCCCGCTCTCTCTGTATCACTCTCATGAATCCCACTCTCACTGCCGCTTTTCACAGAGAAACACTCGACCCTTTGCTTCAGATCCTCTCTTGGTTGTATCCTGTGAAGTGTAATGACTATGCTTTGTGGGTGAACGTGGCAGCCAATTTACGCAATGTCCCACAAACAGTAATGGTGTGAGTGATCAATTTTATTTGGGGGATTTTGGGCCAGAACACCAGGAGAAATTCCCTTATCTTTTTGAATAGTGCCATCGGATCCTTAACATCCACCTGAACAGGCAGATGAGGCCACGGTTTAATATTTCATTCAATGGACAGCACCTCCAATGATGTAACACACAATCCCAGCACTTCATTGGACTGTCACCTTAGACTATGTGATTCCAAGTCCTGACATGGGGCTTGAATCCACAACATTCTGATTCAGAAGCGAGATGGCTACCAACTGGGTGACCAGACCCTAAAGGCAATACAGAGCATGACAACGAGGATGATTCCCAGTGTTAAGAGTATGAGCTATGAACGTTGATTAGAAAAGCTAGGAGTCGTCAGTCTTGAGATAAGGCAACTCAGACACTCTGATAGAAATGCATAACATTTTAAATGGAATTAAAAAAGTAAAGCCAGATCAATATTTTAGGATGTATCAAAACCTTAGGACAAGAAAACATAGATTTAGAATTGCAAATTGCAACTTCAGAATAGATATCAGTCTTTTTGTACACAGTGTACTTAATGGCTGGAACAGGTTAGCAAGGAAGGTCATTGAGGCCAGGACATTGAACTAATTTAGTATGGCTTGATGATGGGTCCAGTAGTATACGTGTTTTGGAGAGCTGAGATTGGATGGACTGAAGGGCCTTATTCATCCACACAAATCTTATGATCTTGTGATCTGTGAAATCCAGGATCAAGCAGTGAGGTGGATTTGTAGTAAACAGTGCTAACAGCTGCTATACTGGCTAAACTGATCTGTTTTTGAACTCCCTGGAGACAGTTGTCTTCACAGCGGCCATGTCTATTTGAGAAGGCCCCTCACATGAGGACCTGGATTAAGCAACTGGTACTGAGTAAGAATGCTACACGGCATTGGACTTGGACCTCGAGAACATCAAGATAGCTGGCACATCACAAGCTGACCTGTGAAGATTCTCTCACAATGTTGAAGCCAGGTGTCTGTCAAATAATTGATGAGGAAACTGAGGTTTGGGATGACAATGCTGGAATGGAAGGTGTTACCTGGAATCTGAATGTGTGAACACATGTTCATATATCCAGGCCTTGGAATTCATCTGCTGCTCCAACTCGATGGGAAGGGATGTGTGTCAGAGATGTGGTCAGGAAGATGTTGGCAATGCTCATTTCATACTGAGCTGTGTTACTCACCAGGAAGCTCGTAGGGAGTTCCTGATATCTGCCATCCACCAAGTGAGGGCTCCAACCTGTCAAGTTCTGCCACTGTTAAGAGTTCCCCCATTTAAAGGGCACTATATAAATTACAACATCAAAGTTACAACAAATGTATTAATTACAGTTTAATGGCATCTGATCCCCAAATAATCTAACATTAACAAGATTTCTGTGAAAGCTGTCATTTTTTAAAAAATAGGTCTTTTACAGTTCACATCACAAAACAAAGGGCAAATAGTACACCAGTTACTTATTGTAGATATATATATACTTTGATTAGCAGCAATCATTTTCCATATGTATTGAGTAATTTAAGATTATTTGAATAATGTTTCATGTAAAAACATCTTAAAAACATTCACAAGATACAATGTCACTGTTCAGCATTCCATCACAGCAATATTCCACCCCACACCTTCCCCAAAACCCAAACCCTGGGCTCCAACCCTCTGCTTAGCAAACACCGTCAACAGCAGCTCGCACTTATACAGTGCCCTCCACGCCGGGTAGCGTCTCATAGCGCTTAACAGTGGCGGAGCCTGACTCTGAGCCGGGGATGGGGGTGGGGGTGTGGGGGATTGGGGGGCGGTGACTGTAAGCATGATCGAAAAGGAAGGTTTTCAGGCGGGACTTGGAAAAGGGGAGAGAGGGGGAAAGGCGGAGAGATTGAGGGAGAGTGTTCCAAAGTTTTGGGGCGTAGTGGCTGAATGCGCGATCTACAATGGTGGAGCGAAGGATGCAAGGGATGAGCGGGAGGCCGGTGCCAGTCGAGAGCAGGCACCGAGTGGCGGATTGGGGAGTGAGGAGGTCGGAGAGGTAGGGAGGTGCCAGAGAGTGAAGGGATTTGAACACGAGTGTGAGGATCATGAAGTTGATGGGATCGGTGATGGAGAGCCGGCGGAGCCTGGCCAGAACTGGTGAAATAGTTCCCACATCAGATCTGCCCTTCATTGGTGAGGTTTGAACTCTCCACAACTCCATCTCCAAATCCTTCCTTCCCAGTTCCCAGCCTTCAAAATCTGCTGAACTATCTCTTGCACTTCAGCTTCCCCCCCCACCCCCACCCCCTCCCCACCCCCCAACCCCTCCCCCTCCCCAGCTGGGTGTCCAGCCACTCTGACACCCCCTCCTGATGTGTAAGTTGCTATATTAACACAAACAGTTGTTATGGTAGAATGGCTGAGCCCAATAGTTATCAATGCTGTACTTCGGTTTCACTTTAGCAAATGCAGAAGTTATGAATCGAAAGTTTTCAAAAGTTTTGACAGTCAAATATTTCTCTCCAGGCGATCTCTCTCTCTCTCTCTCTCTCCCCCTCTCAGAGGAGGTTATTTTCATCTCATTTCATTTCATTTCATTGCATTGCATTGCATTCCTGCAACGATTTCAGTCCTCGATGACTTCAACCCACACGGTCCCCCCCCCACCCCCCACCCCCCTCTTCCCAGGCTCCAGACGAGCAGAGAGCGAAAAAAAAACATACAAAGAGTTATTTGCGAGTCGGTCACTGCGAATCGCAGGTTTCTGTGCACGATTCAGACGTTGCATCGATTCCCAATAAGTACGTATTGAATGGGGGGGGTATCGATCACCGTCGCCCCGCGAGCAGCCGATCGATCCTCTTGGTCCCTATAGATCCGCGTCCCAGGGGGCGGAGGGGGCGGACTCCGCGGGGATATCCACCACCTGGACGGGGTTGGAGATCCCCCGCGGGTAGAGCTTCGCGGGGCGTTGCGCTTCCTTCTTCTTCTGAACGTACGGTTTGGCCTTCGCCCTCTGCTGTTCGCACAGCTTCCCGAAGCTGAAGGCCAGGGAGAGCCCCCCCAGGATCTCCAGGCAGCCGCCGATGAAGCCCAGGACGATGCTGTAGCCCACACTGAGGGACTGTCCGGCCGCGGAGTTGGGCAGCGCCTGGAGCTTGTCCGTGTACCAGGACACGGCGACCAGGGTCAGCACCCCCCCGACCCCCAGCACCACACCCCCCGCCCCGGACACCGCCAGGTTGGGGTGCTGGGTCCAGCAGCGGACCCCCAGCGAGGAGAGCAGGACCCCCAGCGCCGTGACCACCAGCCCCGCGATCATCAGCCCCCTGGACAGCCCCAGCACCTGGTGCTGAAAATAGGCCACGTCCGCCACACCGCAGGTGGTTTCTCTGACGGACTCCTTTTCCCGGCAGATCTCCCACAGCCCCTGGTGCAGCACCGTGTCCAGAGCGTCGGTGGGGATGTTGCTCACGTCTCTCCAGGCGGGAGCCACCGTGGAGACCAGGATCAGCACGAACCCGGCGGGGGACAGCACCAGCCCCAGGATCATCACCGGCGGGGTCCGCATGCCGCCTGCACCCCCTGCCAGCCCCTGCCCCTCACACTGCCAGCCCCTGCCCCTCACACTGCCAGCCCCTGCCCCTCACCCGGCCAGCCCCTGCCCCTCACACTGCCAGCCCCTGCCCCTCACACTGCCAGCCCCAGCCCCTCACACTGCCAGCCCCTGCCCCTCACACTGCCAGCCCCTGCCCCTCACCCTGTCAGCCCCTCACCCTCACCCTGCCAGCCCCTGCCCCTCACACTGCCAGCCCCTCACCCTCACCCTGCCAGCCCCTCACCCTCACCCTGCCAGCCCCTGCCCCTCACACTGCCAGCCCCTCACCCTCACACTGCCAGCCCCTCACCCTCACCCTGCCAGCCCCTCACCCTCACCCTGCCAGCCCCTGCCCCTCACCCTGCCAGCCCCTCACCCTCACACTGCCAGCCCCTCACCCTCACCCTGCCAGCCCCTCACCCTCACACTGCCAGCCCCTCACCCTCACCCTGCCAGCCCCTCACCCTCACCCTGTCAGCCCCTCACCCTCACCCTGCCAGCCCCTCACCCTCACCCTGCCAGCCCCTCACCCTCACACTGCCAGCCCCTCACCCTCACCTGCCAGCCCCTCACCCTGCCAGCCCCTCACCCTCACCCTGCCAGCCCCTCACCCTCACACTGCCAGCCCCTCACCCTCACACTGCCAGCCCCTCACCCTGCCAGCCCCTCACCCTCACCCTGTCAGCCCCTCACCCTCACACTGCCAGCCCCTGCCCCTCACCCTGCCAGCCCCTGCCCCTCACCCTGCCAGCCCCTGCCCCTCACCCTGCCAGCCCCTGCCCCTCACCCTGCCAGCCCCTGCCCCTCACCCTGCCAGCCCCTGCCCCTCACACTGCCAGCCCCTGCCCCTCACACTGCCAGCCCCTGACCCTCACCCTGCCAGCCCCTGCCCCTCACCCGGCCAGCCCCTCACCCTCACCCTGCCAGCCCCTGCCCCTCACCCTGTCAGCCCCTGCCCCTCACCCTGCCAGCCCCACACCCTCACCCTGCCAGCCCCTGCCCCTCACCCTGCCAGCCCCACACCCTCACCCTGCCAGCCCCTGCCCCTCACCCTGCCAGCCCCACACCCTCACCCTGCCAGCCCCACACCCTCACCCTGCCAGCCCCTCACCCTCACCCTGCCAGCCCCTCACCCTCACCCTGCCAGCCCCTCACCCTCACCCTGCCAGCCCCTCACCCTCACCCTGTCAGCCCCTCACCCTCACCCTGCCAGCCCCTCACACTGCCAGCCCCTCACCCTCACAGCCCCTCACCCTCACCGTGTCAGCCCCTCACGCTCACCGGATCCCCTTCACAAAGCTGCACAGGTCTCACACACTCCCCGAGCACAGAGCCGGCGAGTCCACTCCACACGCTCACTCCTCTCAACTAGTGCATCGTGCGTGTTGAGCACTGGGCGAGAGGAAGAGGGTGTCAGGTTACACCGAAACTCCGCAGTCGGGGGGACTTACCAACTGCAAACCAAACCGGTGTGAAACCGCAAAGAAAGCGCAGGTCTCGCTTTTACCGAGAGCGCCTTTCGTCGTTTCTACAACGATTTCAACTTGAGTTGCGAGTGTGTTGCTGAAGAACGAGGCACAGCGACGTTTCCTCCCGAGGCTCCTGCGTGTACCAGAGTTAAGTTGAGTTGAGTCCTTGAGAGGTTTCGGTGCAGGTTTCTATGGAGATTTGACCTGGTATGTAGGTATGCACAAAGGAAAAGCTCCCTGACCGGTCTGGTGTGACTTTGCATTCCTAAGAGTTTAGAAACCTGCACACAATGCACACCTAGTTTGTGAAGCAGCTGAAGATTGTGTAGGTGTGACTATATTCCTGCACTGTAAAGGTTTTTTTTTACTTTAGCTGTTAGATTTGCAACAGCAAACACCTCCAGGGGATGCTTTAATCTTACACACGTCGGTATTACAATATATTGGGGGAAAATGTCATGTGTGATATCATTTTCACACAGAGACAAGCTGTCCCCCGAGATATCTCAGTTGCTTATCTGCTGTGGGGTACACTCCTTTCTGACCTTAAACAATTTGGGTTGAAAATCTGGTTCCTGCAGCTAAAAGTAGCATTGCAAACAGCTGGCCTGTGTTGTTGCATTTGAACTGCTGCCAACACAAAAAAAATCAACTGTAGTGATTTTTTTTGTAGGCAAACACAACAATCATTTAACAGAAATATCCCATGACTCTGTTTGAAAAGAGAAGGAAATTTCTCCTGGTGTCCTGGCCAGCAATCAACAACAACAAATTCCATTAGCACAGCACCTTTCACTCGGGAGGATGTCCCAATCCCCCAAATAAAACTGACCATTCACTTTCACGGCTGTTTGTGGGACAACTGCTGTGTGCATATTGGCTGCTGCGGTTGTCTACAAATACATATAGTAGAGATATCTTGATGATGTGCGAAGCTGAATGGAGTGTGAGGAGCGGGTCTTAGGGATGGGACAAGAAGAGATTTATTTTTATTTCTTACAGATACTATTGTGGGTATTTGTTTTAATGTGGATATACAATATTCTTGTGTGTACCTTGTTTCCATACACAATTGTCTGAATATTGATAAAAATCTGAAGGGTTGTACCTTGCTTGCCTGGCAGAAAGTCAACGAGGAGCAATCAAATGATGGAGCAACAGCAACAAGATTACATTTGTATAGCGCCTTTCACGTTGGGAGGACGTCCCAAGGCGTTGGACAGAGTACAGCATTTCAGAACCGAGCTGGGGGTGGGGGGGAGAATGGAGGGGAGGGGAAGGGGGAGTGACCGATGGCATGGTCGAAGAGGAGGGGCTTGAGGCGGGACTTGAAGGAGGCTAAGGAGAGGGTGAGGCGGAGTGACTGGGGGATGGAATTCCAGAGGTTGGGGGCAGAGTGGCTGAAGGCTCTCCCGCCAATGATGGGGCGGGGCGGTCGGGGGATGTGGAGCAGGCCAGAGCCGGCTGAGCGGAGGGAGTGGGCGGGTTGGTAGGGGGTTAGGAGGTCGCAGAGGTAGGGTGAGGCCATGGAGGGCTTTGTATGTGAGGACTAGGATCTTGAACTGGATCCTCTGAAGGATAGGGAGCCAATGGAGTCGAGCGAGAGTGGGGGAGATGGGGTCACGGAGTTTGGTGCGGGAGAGGACACGGGCTGCAGAGTTCTGTATTATCTGCAGCCTGTGGAGGGAGGAGTTGGAAGGCCGACAAGCAGGACGTTCACATAGTCGAGCCTGGAGGTGATGAAGGATGAACAAGAGTTTCAGCGTCCTGAGGGGTGAGGTAGTGACGGAGTCGGGCGATGTTACGGAGGTGAGGGAAGGCAGAGCGGGTCATGGCTTGGATGTGGGGGAGAAAAGACAGTTGAGGGTTGAACAAGACACCTAGGTTCCTGACTGGCTGGTGAGTTGTAGTGTGCAACCATGGAGGTTGATGCTGCCAGAGCCTGAGGTGCTGAGGTGCTGGTGTGAGCCAATCAGGAGGGCCTCAGTCTTGTTCACATTTAACTGTAGGAAATTTGTCCTCATCCAGGAGTTGATGTCCGACAGGCAGTCTGTCAGGACAGCAGTGGTCCTGGGGTTGAGGGTGGAGGCAAAAAGATAGAGTTGGGTGTCATCCGCATATATGTGGAAGTTGACCCCATGTCTGCAGATGATGTCACCAAGGGGGTGCATGTAGATATTAAAGAGGAGAGGGCCAAGGACAGAGCCCTGGGGGACACCAGACGTGACAGTGCGGGGGTTGGAGGAGAAGCCATTAGAGCCAACGAAGTGGAGATGGTGAGAGAGATAGGAATCAAACCAGGCAAGGGCAGGTCCGTGAAGATTGAGTAAGGCGGAGAGGTGGTGTATGAGGATGGAGTGGTCAACAGTGTCGAAGGCAGCAGAGAGGTCAAGGAGGACAAGGAGGCAGAGGGAGCCCTGATCACAGATGTTCAGAATGTCACTAGTGACTTTGACCAGGGCTGTTTCCGTGCTGTGGGCAGCGCGGAAGCCGGATCGGAGGGGTTCAAAGAGGGAATGGTGAGAAAGAAAGGAGCAGAGCTGGGACCCGACGACTCATTCCAGGACCTTGGAGAGGAATGGGAGGTTAGAGATGAGGCGGTAGCTGGAGAGAAGCTGGATCCAGGGAAGGTTTTTTCAGGATGGGGGTGATGACGGCTGTTTTTAGGGGGGTGGGAACTGAACTGGTGGACAGGGAGAGGTTGATGACATCAGACAGGAGGGGGGCCAGAATGTGGAGCTGGGGGACAAGGAGAGAGGTGGGGATGGGATCGAGGGAGCAGGTGGTGGGTTTGAGTTTGTGGACAGTTGTGGTGAGGGAGGAAGGAGAGATAGGGTCAAAGGAGTATAGGGGGGAATGAGTGGGGTATGGGTCATGAGGGAGAGGTTATGTGGGGTTGGCTGTGGACGGGGCTGAGGTGGCTGAATGTATCCCCTCGATTTTGGATTCAAGGAAGTCCAGCATCTCCTCACTGTTGGCGTTTGAGGAGAGGATGGGCGAGGTATGGGAAGGTGGACGGAGGAGACGGTTAGTGGTGGAAAAGAGAAGCCGGGGGTTGTGCTTTGCCTCCAAGATAACCTTGGAGTAGAAAGAGGACTTGGCGGAGGCAAGAACGCAGCGGTAGATCTTGGTGTAGTGAAGCCAAATCTGCCGATGGACTATTAGTTTGGATTTGGTCCAGGCGCGTTCGGCAGCTCGCACTTGTGCCTTGAGGGAACGGAGAGGGTTGGTGTACCAGGGGGATTTACAAGAGTATGAGGCAGTTCAGGAGGTGAGGGGGGTAAGGGAGTCCAGAATGGAGGAGTGGGAGTTGTGGAGAAAAGAGAGTGAGGAGGAGAGATCAGTCAGTGAGGGTCAGAGGTGTAGGAGTTCAGATGACTCCAGGGCAGTGGAGAGGGAGAGAAAGGAATTTTTTTTCCATGGACAGTATGTAATGGTGGAGGGTTGAGAAAGGGGAAGGGGAACTGAGGTGTTGAGGGAGATGAAGTGGTGGTCCAAGATGGCTCTATCGACGATGGTGATGTCCAAGACAGTGAGGCTTCGGGTG